CACCCTCTCTAAAAAGGAATGGAAAACATATCCTAGGGCGAGATTAACAAAAAAAAAAGAACTTAGCCTGGGATGCGCGCTGCCCGCCAGCTGCTCTGGTGGTTTTGATCAGGGGCCCCCATCAAAGTGCTTCAGAGCAATGTTCGAAGCGGACAGGAAGGTTTGGGGGATAGCTCCCCCCACTCCCCCTCCACTGAGACTCTGTTCAACTTGGCAACTGTGTTATGTTCCTTTTGATACACTTCTGAATGGGAAGAAAAAAAAAAAACTTGCAAGAAAAAAATTAGAAAAAGCGAACCTTGAGCGTGGCTTTTTTGTTTCTGCTGCTGCCGGTCTTGATGTGCTCTATGCGCTCGGCCTGCGCGGTGATGTCCCACATGACGATCTGAAACAGGAACAAACGCTGTGAAATATTTTCAGGATTAAACATTTTTTTTTTTAAAAAAAGACACCTGTTCATATTGGTATGCACTTGGGTGAATCATCACCTTGAGGGATAACCAAAGTTAGCCTACATCTTAGGTGAGGCAGCAACTTTTAAAGCTAATGTAAAAAAGAATGTTTTCTTCTCTATAAAAGCATTTCCGACACTTTGATTTTTGTGCTTGTGTTAATAAAATGCCAGTAATTTCTGAAATCCAGGGCAAGCACCCTGCAATTCCCCCTTGGGAAGGGTTGGCCTCCGCGGTGCAGGGGGGGCGCGGGGATGTGCTGTAGCTGTCGGGACAGCTGTTTTAGACCCAGGACGACACGGCGTGTTCTCCAGAATCAAATGCAAACACTCGATCGTCCAAAAGGTCTAGAAAACGGTGATTTCTGCTTAATTATGGCCAAGTCCAAATTTGCACATACACGAATGATCGTTTGTTGAAAAATCAGAATAAAGTAGAATTTGCAACACTAAATTAGATTAATTTTTAATGATTAAAGGCCATTTCAGTACACTAAAATGTTAACAAAGTGTCAGAATTACAGAATTATGAGTGGTTTTATTTTCATCATTTGCTTTTCTAAAAAAACCCGCTAAAACTAAAAGTTGCATTACCTTCCTAATGAGTAAAAAAGGCATTTCAGGACTTGCAGGGCTTGGAGGATGGTCTCCGGGTCGTCATTATGACCACCAGTTATTGCTGGACAAGACCAAGGGAGACATTTTTGTTTCCCCGGGTGCTTTTGTCCTGGATATAAATGGGCATGGATGCTGCAGGCATTTCAATTTCAACCACAAGGAAGCTTTCCTGCTACACCAAAAAGATCGTGTGTACCCTTGTAACAGCCAAATTCACTGGGTCACAGTGAATTTAAACTTTGGCTATAAAATAGCTTTACAATTTTTGTTTGTCTTTATTGGAGAAACAGGCAATTGGAGGGTAGAATCTAAATTTTATATAAATTAGATAACAAAGGAAAAAATAACCAAAAAACTAAACATGCTATCAAATTATTCACACATAAATTCAATGATATATGTATGTTTTCCAGTGAACTTCTGTTTAAATTCTGTATTACCTCCTAACCCCTACATCTAGGAAACTTTTAAGAGGCCTCATGACCAAGAGCTATTAATGCTTGTGGGTTTTGTTCTTTGAAATCTGGTTCAATGTGTGATTCTGTCTCAGCAATACAAGTAGATTTGGCCCATTTTTCCCCCAATCAAAATGTATTATAGAATGTCGTCTAAATTAGTAAGTAGCTGAAAAAAATCCATACATACCTGCCCATTTAGGCAGCCTCCAGCAATAATATTAGGGTCACTCGGACAGAACTTGAAGCAGAAAATGTCATCTGGGCTCTCAAGCATTAACTAAAGAAAACCCCACAAATTCAAGAGAGTGAGAAAACCTATTAAGGTCATGGCTAAAAAATAATATTAAGACAGTCAAAAGTCTAATTTTATAGCTATGTATAAGAAACATGCACAGAGAGTCCATTCCCAGAATTCTGCCTCTGAATTAGAAGCTGCTTTTGTTGAATTTTATTGTGGGCATTAGCCATATGTATGAGAGCAGGTCTGCTTTCAAGGGGACCATTTCTGCCCTCCCCCGTATCCCATGGGCCATTGTTAGGGCAAACATCTTATAATTTTTCATAAACAAATGGACAGGGAAATCAGTGTTTTTGAAAAGAAAATGTGAAAAGTAAGCCCTGGGAAGGCAGGATAGTCGTCTGTTTTGTTCCCTGCTGTATACCTTGCCTGGCACACAGTGAGCACGCAAAAATAAAATATGTTGTATAAGAGAAGATGAAGGTATTGCCAGTGATACTATTTCAAATTTTAAAATAATACAGAAGCCATGAGGTAAACAAATTCAAGTGCTTGCAGGGTAGGGAGGAAGCTCTCTGCAAGGAATACACCAGTGTGAAGGAATTGGCATGCTAACCAATAGGTGGCGCTACTGGGTTACCACTAAGCAAAACACTTGCACTATTACTGTTCTTCTATAAACATACCTACCAAAATATATGCCCCAAGGCCATTGGTTTGCCATCACTGAGCTAAAGATTGCAAACTAGAATTAGAGTTAATTATCTTGGTTAATTTGGTACCTGTAGATTCTGGAGAAACTTCTACTTTTGAAAATAAAATCTTTTAATACTCTCCTATGGTTTTTATTAGAACATAATTTCTTTAAGAAATTATTTGTCTTTTCAAAGCTATTCTTCGAAATAGAGGAAAAGAGAGTCTTTCCTCTTGCTTTGTGCCTGGAAGTTCAGGCACACTCCCACGTCACGTAGTAGAGAGTAGTTCTACACTACTAGGAAATGATAGAAAACCCCATGAAGAGAATGGGGCCATTTTTGTGGTAAGTAGGCTGATAAGAAATAACTAGAGAGTTGTCATTTTGATCTCTGAGTCCATAATAATTAAAGTATCTAGACTCTATTACAAAAACTCTTTACAGGAGACCAAGGAAGAAGAAAGAAGGGGAGGCTAGGGTTTATTAGGGAAAGCCTTAATCATACAATACTTTATAGAAACAAATTATTATTATGCTTAAGTACATTGAAAAAAACTTCATCTAACCCTATAAAGTGCCCTCCCCTAAGCAGAACGCTTCCTGAGCAGATATTAGAAATGCAATGCCATGGGGCAAACAGCCTTCAGCCTTTTTAAATTTGCATTGCTGTGTGTTTTGGTTTGGCTTTAAAAAATAGTATTTAAAATTTTGGAGATTTCACACAAAATTTCCAATTGCTGGGTTCTCTTGAGAAGTGGAACCACCTGGCAATAACAGGCCTGAAGAGTAGCTGTCCCCATAGGTGGCTGTGCACTCTCTAGGGCCACAGTCCCCATGGCTCTCATCACACTCCTACACACTCATCTTTACTCATTACCACCACCTACTGGTGATCCTTGGAATTGAGGGAATTCCTGTGAAATTAAAATCTACTTGCATTTGAACAATCAGTATTTAAATAAAGACTATAAAAGAGTTTGCACTTTAAAATCAGTTGAATGTTCCTCTTACAATCTTTTATTTTTATTTTTATTTTTATTATTTTTATTTTTATTCTTTAAAATCCTCACCCAAGAATATGTTTTTATTGATTTTAGACAGAGGAGCAGGAAGAGGGAGAGAGAGAGAAAGAAATATCAGTTGGTTGCCTCCCCGCACCCTGACCTACTGGGAGCAAACCTACAACCTGTAGGTATGTGCCCTGATTGGGAATCAACGCTCCAACCAACTGTGCCACATTGGCCAGGGCTTTTTTTTTTTTTTTTTTTAAATAACATCTTGATTTGTTCAGTGAACCTTCTCAATAAACTTCAGTATAAACTTTTGTTTTGCTCAAATTAAATGATCACAAATTCAGAAACAAAGAAAGCCTGACTTTATAAGGATTTAGAGCATTTAGTGATTATAAAGGACTTTGCAATTAAAACTGCTAAAAGAGACACATGAAAGTAACATTTGAAATTTTTAGACTATGTGGAAGGCTCTTCTTCATTACCTGAGGATGTATGGGATCGGAGAAACTCCAGAAAAGAATCAGGGACGGCTGCAGCAATAATTTACCAGAAAAGTGAACTCTGTCTTCCAAGGAGAGTCGCACGGCCACTGACACAGCTATCAGCCCTGATTGAAACACAGTTAAAATGAAGACCTGCAGCAACTGTACATGGTGAAGCATTTGTAGGTTTTGCTTTTCTACATAGTCATTGTTCATTTCTCTTTGGATGAAACTTGAGTAAAAATATTCTATAGGAGACGAAGAGTTTTCTTAGAGCTCCATGTGGTTGCTAGCAGCTATGCATCGCTTAATTAGCACTTGAAATGTGCCTGGTCCAAATTGAGATGCACTGGTAGTCTAAAATAAATACTGGACTTTAAAGAATTAGTAAGAAAAAAAGTTTTTTTGTGGGGGAGAAAGAGGGGAGGAAGAATGAAAGCAAAGACCTCTCTCTCTGAAGTCCCACCGTCTCACAGACCTACCTCCCTTGACTGCTTAGAGCTTTGAAGGAGGTGCAGCTGCTCTGTTGTCTGGTAATCAGAGAGGCAGTGGGTCCAGGGGGGTAAAACTGGCCTTGGGCATCCAACAGGCCTGAGTCAAATCCAGATTCGGTGTCACACCAGCTGGGTGACCCGAGCCAGTCACCTCCCTTGTAAAGTAGTGGTCACAGTGGGTATCCCAGAGTGGCCAGGAGGCCACGCACGACTGAGAGAAGGTATGGAAAGGGAGTGCTTAGCGGGTGCCTGGCACTCAGCAAGTGGAAGTTGTCGTATTGAACTTGAGCTAATTTTCAAATTTTTCTTAATTCTCACCTGAGGTTATTTTCTCCACCGATTTTTAGAGATAGTGGAAGGGAGAGAGGAGGGGGAGAGAGAGAAACATCGACGTGAGAGAGACATTGATTGGTTGCCTCCTGCACTCGCCTTGACCAGGACTGGGGATCAAACGTGCAACCAAGGTATGTGCCCTTGACCGGGAATTGAACCTGCAACCCTTTGGTCCGCAGGCCGACGCTCTAACCACTGAGCCAAACCGGCCAGGGCTAACACATAAAAGCAACAGACTGTTTCAATGTCATCACAAAGGGAATCTCAGTCTTTTCCATCTCACCATAGATATCCGGATGCCACGAGACACAGGTGATCATTTTCTCTGTTAGGGTGTGAAGGTCGGTAAAGGACTGGTACTCCTTCAGGTGGGTATTGGTCTTGTCCCCAAAGGTGCTCTCTTCTTCTGCTAGGTTTTTCCAGTCATCAATGAATGTGTTTGTGATTTCATTTTGTTGTAGGGCTATTTCAACACTATTTTGTAAAAAAGAAAATAAGAGCAGTGAAGACAATTGGATTTTAGTATTCAATGACATGCTTTTAGTAGCTCTTCCTGCTTCATTTGTACCGAAAGAAAAATATATTCTCAATTATATTTGGTAACTAGGGATTAACCCCGTGTGAAATAAATGATGTAAGGGCTGAAGAGAAAAAAACTCACGGCAGTGTGCTGCTCAGAGTTTCTAAGAACTTGCTGTTCAGCTTCCGGGATGTGGTTAGCTGGCGCCCCCCAGCACCTTCAGCACCTGCCTGGGCTCCCAGGCCAACGAACGTGGAAGCTGTGGGACACCAGGGCCCGCCAGCTCTGCCTCCAGCACGACTCCTCCAACGGGCCTCCTCACTCGGCAGCTCCCTGCTGGGCTGGCTGAGACCACCTGAAGCCCTCCTCCCCGATCCGCCTTCCCCTTTCATTTTTTATCCACGGCGTACCCCCCAGTAAACCTTCACTTTGACTTGGTCTTATTTCGCTTCCTGAAAATCCCAAACTGACAGAAAAGGCAATTTTCTTAGCTATATTCAGCACCAAATAATCATGTGTACTAATTATTATACTAATATATTCATAGGATTATGTGTGTGTGTGTGTAATTCAAAACAACAAATTAGAGATTCTTAAGGGGAGATTTAGAATTTAGGTGAGTGTGAGTGTGTGTGTGTGTGTGTGTGTGTGGTGGTAGTGGTTTTAGTTGCGGCAAAGTCTGGGAGGAACTAATGTGTTTAATTCCGTTACTGAACCTCCTGCAATGCATGACAGTCCCTAAAATGGAGAATTATCCTGCTAAAAGTGCTACTATTGCTTCTTTAGAAAGCAATTTGAGTGCTAGGCTCATCTCTTAATGTTCTAAGGTCCCTGGTTTGACAGGCTCAGGTCTTAAGTTTCTATAAGTTACTTTAAAGTAACAGCTATAAGTTACTGTAAGTTACTATAAAACTCAGCTCACTCCCAGGGCCTCTAGGAGGTTTCCCACAAGTAGAATGCCACCCAAGGTTTTATCCTAATGATTTAAAGTCCAAATGCTTGGTGTTTTAATGAGTGTGGTAAGCTGAGAGAGTGGATCTGAATTATGAATTTCCTAGAATAAGGAAAAAAACCTCACTTTATTTAGACAATTATATACAAGCACTAAATATAATATATACACCTCAAAATGTAAAGCAGCAAGGGTACCATTTAACACCTGTTACTGAGCATTAGCACCACCATTCACCGCTTAACTGAATACTCTTTGGGTTAAATTCTTCTCCGACTTCATCTTTCAAACTAGAAGCATTTCCTGGGACCATCAGGATCAGCATGACCTGGAACTGTCAGAAAGGCAGAGTCATGCCCCCCAGCGTGGCTCAGCGGGGGAGCATCCACCTGGGACCCAGGCGATCGGGGTTCGATTCCCAGTCAGGGCACATGCCCGGGTTGCGGGCTCGATGCCCAGCAGGGGGCGTGCAGGAGGCAGCCGATCAATGACTCTCATCATTGACGTTTCTATGTTTCTCTCGCTCCCTTACTCTCTCTGAAATCAATAAAAATATATTGAAAAACAAGGAAATGCAGAGTCATGGGCTTCCGCCCAGACCTACTGATTCAGAACCTGCTTTTTTTTTTTTAACAAGATGCGCAGGTGGCTCCTAGGCGCGTGAAAATGTGAGTAACTGTGTGTAGGGTGGGTTCGCACCCGGGAACTTCAAGGTTAACCCCACTTTCAAGTAGAGGCATTTGCTAACATGTCAAAGCCTTCTTTCTTTCCGTTTCAGCCAGAATGAGAAAGGAATTCCAGGGTAGAAGTTAAAGGCCGGGCCTCTGCTCTGGCTCCCGGCGCTTCCCTCTGGGGCTGCGGGGGAAGCAGTTCACCGGGAGGGCGCGGAGGCGGCGGGGCTCCTCGGGCCCCCTGTTTCTTGGTTTCCCTGCGCTCTACCACTCGGTTACTGCGCACGATGAATTGGAGGCTGGCAAAACCCACTGTTATTTCATTTTATTTTTTAAAAATGTCTATTGATTACAGAGAGAGGAAGGGAGAGGGAGAGACAGAACATCAGTGATGAGGGTCATTGATCGGCTGCCTCCCGCGCGCCCCCTGCTGGGGATGGAGCAGGCTACACGGGCATGTGCCCTGCCCGGGAATCCAACCCCCATCTCCTGGATCCTAAGTCGATGCTCAACTGCTGGGCCATGCCTGCCCGGATCACTGTTGTTATTTTTTTTAACCCCAAAATGAAAGTTTCTTAGTTGCTTTGAGAATCCCCTGGAAGTTTCTCTCTCTCCTCTAACATAATTTCCATCTTTTTTCAAATCACGCTTCCCTTAGGTTCATTCTGGATAAAATTCCATGAAAAAGAACTCATTTCTGAAAGGGCTCTCTTCCGGAACAAAACTAAGCTTATATTAATTTTTTAAAAATATAAATAAGACTTAAACAGTTTCAGAGTGGGAAGAATGACAGTGGTATAAACAGGGGTTTCTTATTTATTCTTGGCAGGTGCTATTTTAATTCCTGTGCCAATTTCCTCTTCCTTCTTACGGTTCTGGCTTCTCCTTCCCACATCTCAGGGAAGGAATTATATACGCCCCTCTTTATAAGCATGGCAACTGAAAGGGAAGAACAAAACTCCAGGACTAAAGAGAATACACAATATGGATAATTGAGAATTGGCTCTAGGCCATTTATTCCCTTGAAACAGATTATACAGGGGCAGAGTTCTCATTTTTTAATACTCTTAGCAGGAAAATTTAAATACTTCATTTTGATAAGGGGAAAAAGAAACCTTAGGTTTTCTTGTTTCTTTCTCTTTGCCCACATAGGAAAAAACTATAGCATACTTCCTGTGAGTGGCAAATAATTAATGCACTCTCTGAATCATTGATGAATTTTGGAACCAGATTCTCCCTAGGTATACGTAATTTTCAGAACACTTAATCCAGTCTGAAAGAACTAATGATGTTTTCTTAAAAATATAAAAGCTTAACTCGGGCTATCTGTGAACTAGACCACCACATTTTTTAATTTTGGAAAGAAATGGAAACCAACCTATTGAGCAGACCTTTGCGTCATTGGTTCCGCTTCTTTGAACTCTGGTATCAACCAGATGAGAACTTGTCCAGCCCTTTCTCTCTTAGAAGCCCCGAGGCTCTGCCCCGGGTCCCAGTACCGCTGAAAAGGCATTTTGAAGACACCTCTCTTTCAGAGCCAATGAGAGTGGCAGCAACACAGGAATTAAGAGTAAGGATGACATACCCAAGAAGGACCTCTCAGTTGAATTCAGGTTCTTATTTACAAAGAAATTTTTGTAAATTCCTGTCATCATCGTTGTAATGATCATCCTCAACATCCACAGCAGCCTCGTCTTTGTAATCCTACAAAAGTCAGGGAAGCTCAGCTGGTGTGGCTCAGTGGTTGAGTATCACACACCAGGAAGTTGCGGGTTCGACTCCCAGTCAGGGCACATGCCCAGGTTTCAGGCTCGATCCCCAGCAGGGGGTGTGCAGAAGGCAGCTGGTCGGTGTTGCTGTTTCTGTTTCTCTCCTATCAATGTTTCTGTCTCCCTCTCCCTTCCTCTCTCTCTAAAATCAATTAAAGAGATTTAAAAAAAAAAAGGAACAATAAAAAAGAAAAAAAAAGCTAATGAAGCTAAAAAGGGGAGTGAGGAGTGGAGAAAAAAAAGACTTACATCAAAGAAACCATGGCAAATAAATGTTAATTTGCTGTTAGGAAAACATGCTCACTGTATACACCTCCCGAGCTGACACTGTTTGGTGAGGCCACAGCTTCTGAGGCCTAGGGTGTTGCTTAGCAGCAGAGGGACAGACAGACTGGGAATGTGTAGAAAGCGCCGGCGCTCCTGCATACTTGAGAGCCCTCCTCACACTTTCTATCTAGATGCCGTTTATGGAGCCGTTTTTCAAGACCTACTGTTATAACTAAACATACCCATTTTATGTTTTATTTTAAAAATGTAATATACAGTTTTTACCTTATGGACATGTTGTTGAGAAAATCAGCCAAACCCTTGGATTGTCCGAGTGCCTCTTTTTCCTTTTCTAAGAGTTCTCTCGGGTAATATTGTGTGGTAGCGTTCTTGGGATATGTCCTGATATAGTAAAAGAAGATGGAATAACATAAGTCAGATCAAAGAAAAGCACATGCAGTCATAACAGGTACAGGCTTATCTCTGTGACAGTGTTAGGATATTATTTTATATTTAAATTTCATACATCAAATTTCTTCTTTACCCTAGAAAATTGATACTGACTGCCATTCAAAGTACTTGTGTATTTCTCTCAAACATAATAAGTTCTTGTTTAAAAAAAATTATTTAGCTATCATTTTAAACTTACGGATAAGTTGTAAGAAGGATATAAGAAACTCTCAGACGCCTTTCACCCCCATTCAATTATTAACACGTTGCCACATTTGTTTGTCATTTCCTCTCTCTTCATTTCATCAAATCAGTGAGTCCTAACCAGTGCGATCCTGTTCTGCCTCCACGCCCGGGGGCCATTTGGCAATGCCTGGAAACATTTTTGGTTGTTTCAGCTGGGAAGTGCTCCTGGCAGCTAGTGGTTAGAGCCCAGGGATGCTGTTAAACACCCTAAAATACACAAGACAGCCCCCCGCCCTCCGACGGATAATTATCCAGCCCAAAAGGTCAGTAGTGTTCAGGCTGAGAAACTCTCCGCTGAATATACAAAACTAGGAGCAATTTACACTTAGGCAGTGATGGCAGAGCAGTCCCTGGAGGAAAGCTGATTCCAGCCAGGCTGACCGCCCTCAGCGCTCGCCTTCACCCTGGGACATGCCGTGTTGCATTTTACCTCTGGGCCTTGTTGGTCTCACCCACTGGACTGGGTGAGCCCTTGATCTTAGGGTGGGGGGGCGGCACAGAAAGGTCATGTGACACAGTCCTTAACAGTGCGCACTCCGTGATGGGCTGCCTGGTTTTAAAGCCTGATTCTATCACTTACTAGCTATGTGACCCTGAGCTAATTAGTTAACTTTTCTGTGCCTTGTTTTCTCATCTCTAAATAAAATTCAAGTACCGAGCTCATAAGGTTATTGTAAGAACTGACTGTGTTAATACATGCAAAGCTTTTAAAACAGTGCTAGCACATTTTAAGTGCTCAATAAACTATTAGGTTGTATTTAACCTAAGTTTGTTGAACAAATGTCAGTAAAATGTCTCTGTGAGAGTAATCAAACAGGGGGGTAAAGGGAGTTTTGCTTATACTGAATAGAATAATTCATTCCTAGATCAGTATCCATAGCAGAGGCAGAATGATGGAAAGATATGTTGTTATTGGAACCAAAGAGTCTTGGGTTCAAATGTGAACTTCGCCTTTTAATTTCTATCCCACGGGTAGGATTAAGAAATTACATGGCACCCGGTAGTTTCATCAAAGTAGCAACATGACTAACAGTCACTCTTATTTTTTTTTAAATGTGATTTGTTTTGTTGTTTTTCAGCATATCTATCCATTACTGATTCAAATTTAAATTATGTTCCAAATATTGAGCTTTCCCTTTTAACCTCTCTGCCTCAGTTTACTTTTAAAATGGAAACAGTGCCTCGCTCAGAGGGCGGTTGTGAAGATGAATTGAGTCGGTGTGTGCTAAGTACTTAGAAGAGCGCCTGCTGGTATGTGGTAAGAGCACTGTAAACATTTGCTTTCTTTGCTAGTACTCCTTGAACCTCATCTCTGATTTTTGTTTGTTTGCTTACTTCTTCCATCACAATCATATATCCCATGTTCTCATGCCAGCTGGTTTCCTGATCTTAGTAAGTGGTGCCATTCTCCGTCACCTAGATCTGAGCAAATTGAGTTCTTTCCATTCATTTTTTTTTCCACTTTGTGGGTCATGATCTGCCCTTATTTCTCATCTGCTCACTCCAGCTGCTCTATAGAAACAACTGTCCATTATTATCAGTCGATACCCATTGAGAGCCTACTAAGGTCCCTGCTATCAGAAGCTCACTGTCCCTGTCTAAGTCTATATCCTGAGCCTACCCTGCTTGTCACTTTTCTGTACCCTGGCGGGAACTTAGAAGACTCTGGTTGTCTTGACTAAAAAATTTCTCTCAAAATCTAAGTTTTTTTGGTACTAATGTATCATCTCTCTGCTAGTCTCGCTCTCACCTCTTGGTATTTATGAATCTCTGATGTTCTAATTCTCTGCTGAGACTTGACTACCAATCCTTGTCTTTCTCTTCAACTGTTTGGTTCTGGGCTGTATGTACATCTGCCTCCCTGGTTTCTGGCCCATTTCGTGTCCTGACCCCTGGGTTCATGCATGTGTGCCTTGACCTTAACATGGCATTGTCATAGTTTCTGACTCGTTGCTTCACATAGATTTGAAAAGCATGTTTTGCACTGCAAGCCACACTGCTGACGCCAGTTCTCCCGGTCACAGTCTTTCTCACTGTTTATTTCATGGCCCTTCTCTTAACATTGAACTTGAGTCAGCCATCCATTCCAACATTCTTCCTTAACTTCCTCTCTTTCTCCTTTCCTTCCTCACTCCTTTATTCCCTTCATTTAATAAATCTGTGCCAGGAACTGTCCTAGAAGTTGGGGATATAGAAGTGAACAAAACAGACCCAATCCCTGTCTCATGAGCTTAAATTCTGAGTGGTAGGTGGGCAGAAAGTGAGAAAAGAGAAACAATGACAAATACATATCAAGTGATAATAATGCCGTGAAGAAAAAAATAGAGTAAGGGGATAGATAGAAATGGGGTTGTTGCTTTTATAAAGGGGTGTTGGGGAATGCCTCATTCAAGCAGAGATCTGAATGAAGGAGGAAATGAACCCAGACGATGGGGGAAGAGCAGCCTCTGTAGAGGAACTGTGAGCGTAAGCACATCAGGTATGAGTACGCTTGGTGAATTCAAGGAACAGGGGAGCCAGTGTGGCCAGAAGGGATGAGCCAGGGGAATTATGGCAAATGAGGGCAGCAGGGCAAATGGGATCCAGATTAGTCTGACTTTTCTATGGAGAACAGAATGTAGGAGGTCAAGGGCAGATGGAGGAAGCCCAGGTGGGAGGCATTATAGTAATCCAGGAAAGAGATGGCTTGGTCCAAGATGACAGCAATGAATATATTTTGAAGGTAGACCCAAAAAAGTCTAAGGTTTGGGGTCTGAGTAATTACAAGAATATCATTGCCCTTTACAGAGATGAGGAAGATTCAGAGAGTTGCAGATTTGGAGGTAGAACATTTTAAAAAAATTGGTTTGGGGCATGTTAAATTTCAGACCCTTATTAGACATCCAAGTAAGAGGAATATAAGTGTGTGGAGTTCAGGGGAGAGATTAAGGTTAAAGGCATAGATCTGGGAGTCATCAGAAAACAGATAATCATCAACACCAAAGGACTAGATAAACTCACCCAGGGACTAAGTGTAGTTAGAGAAAACATCAAGAGGGGTTAGCTTTGGGTTCCTCTAATATTTAGAAGTTGGGAAGAGGAGGATCCAGCGAAGGACACTGAGAAGAAGCTGCCAGTGAGTTAGGAGGGGTACAGTAAGCATTGTCCATAGGCCAGTGGAAACGTGTTGTAAAGAGGGGAAATAGTCAACCATGTTACATACTGCTGAGAAGTGGAGAAAGAAGAGGTATTTAAAGTTGGATTGGCCATCAGATCATTAGAAGTCTTTGGTGACCTAAGGACTGGAATGGGGTCAAGATAGGATGGTAGAAGAGCAAGTGTCCACTCCTGTGTGGACAACTACTGTGAGGTGTTCCTTTGTAAAGAAAAGCAGAGAAATTAGATAATAGCCTGAGAGGTCAAGAAAGTCAGGTTTTGTTTGTTCGTTTGAATGATGGAGTTGCAGCATTTTGTACTTACATGTCTCTTTTCCACCCTTTCCTCTCAGTTGACTGCCACCACCTTACTTTAGACACTGGTCACATTGTTACCTGGTTTAGTGACAGCAGACTCCTATTTGGCCAGTCTCTTCACTCCAATACACACTGCCCTGCTCATCTTTTAACACTGTACCATCCTGCCTCTCCCTTTCACTTCAGAATTTGTCCAAGTGCCCTACTGTCTGCCACAGAAACCACTTCTCTGTCTACCTCTGCTACTCCCTTCCTTATACCCAGGCAGGTCTCCTCATGGTCCCATTCCAACTCTCTTTTTCCCATTTTCTTGAATTATGCAGGTCATTTTTAAAAATGTGGGCTGCTTTTTCTTTCTCCAAATTATATGTAACATTTGTGGCCTATTGTCTATAAATCTAAAATTATTTCAAAATAAACTGTATTTTAATTCTAAGAAACCACATAGCTTAGCTAAATATGTCTCCAAATTTATACAACATTCAAAGCCTAACTCAAGTCCCCAAAATATTCCCTGGACAGCCCGCTTCAATTCATTCACTGAATACATTTTAATAGAGCTTGATGTGTGAAATGATATGGTTTGTAGCCTCCCAGTGCTCTGGATCTAAGGCAGATGGACAGGTAAGCACATGAGTACAATGTGGGTCCCCAGTGTTGTGATCAAGGTACCTTCAAACTCTAGTGGGGTCTTAGAGGGGGGAGTGATCAACTCTACCTGGTGTTTCCAGGAAATCACAGAGGAGGGGGCACTGAACTTAAAGGGTGACGGAGGACAGGGTGGACAAGGCAGTGAAGCGCATTTTATACAGAGGAACAGCATTGGCAAAGGCAGGGAGAGTGGGTATCCTGGGAGATGAAAGCAGCTCCTAGGACTAGAGCACAGAGGACTTGCTTGGGAATGGGGGGCGGGGAGAGGCTGGAGAGGCCAACAGTGCCTTGACATGGAGGAGGGAGAACCTTATAATGCCATGCCAAGGGCTCTGGATGCGATAGGGGGCCAAAGAAGAGATTTAGGCAGTGAAGTAACACAATCTGATGTGTAAGAATGATAACTTAGGTAGACTAGAGCAGTTAGGAGGCAATGGTAATATTCCAGGTGAGAGCGTACTGTAATGCTTATTTTTTATTTTTTAAAATTTATCTTTATTACTGAAAGTATTACAGACGTCCCCTATTCCCCGCATCGATACCTTCCACCCCGCATCCACCCCACCCCCATGCCTTCCCCATACCAATGGCTGTGCCCATGGGTTATGCATATAAACATATAGGCTCTTTGATTAATCTCTCCCCACCCACTCCCCCACCCCCAATACTGTAATTATTAACAGCATCCCTGGAGTTATTAACAGCATCTGCCATTTTCCCAATACATAGTCTTTACAGCCTTATATGCTTTTATCTCATTTTCCCATTAAGATTTTAAAAGGCATAGATGAAAGCAATTAGAACTTCCTGAATTGAGTTACTTTATGGAAATATATGTTGTCATTGTCAATCCATTTCTATTTATTATAAAGATCTCTCAAACTAACCATGGATGTTGCTAGGTTTTAGTATAACTGCCTTTGCAAATACACAAACCCACCGCACACTTACCATCTTGTCTGAGTGCTTGAGTCCTTGACTTGGGGGACTACTTGCAGGCCAACATCTTTCTCAAGTTGCTTAATAGCAAAATGTTTATCTGGGTAGGCTGTACATTCAATATAGGCATCTTTTACACTGGAAACATTGTGGTCACTGAACTTAATTGGTGCACCAAATTCACTTTGTTTCCGAGAAATCATGTATGTAATCTGCAACACGGGGAAGCAGTAAAGGCAAAGTAATCAGGTCCCTGGAGAAAAATGGGTGTGTGGCAGACGACGCGGGTGCTCTGCCCAGGTCCTCAGGCCTCTCTGTAAACTCTCTGCCCCTCCCGCTCCCCATGGCCGCCACTGCTGCTCTCCTGTGAAGCACTGTCCCAGGGCTACTGGACCGGTTTGCCCGCAGGTACAAGAACGGGAATTGACCTGCTGTTTACATCTCAACCCATGATGGGCTAGCGGGAGACATATGGAAGCTCATCTCCTTGGCTTCTCTTTGGGACAACCCTGAGGAGTAATTTACCCTCCCGAGTTCCGCTAGGGGTTCAGGCCGAAGCCTTCCCTCTGCTGAAATTCTGCCTGAGATTGCGCCTTGCAGGGCTTGTGCCAGTGTTGTCCCTCTCCAGCTGCTTTCCCTGTTCTCTTACGGGGCACTTTCAAAACTAGTCACTCACATTCGAATCCTCTTTCCTCTGTGTCAGCGTCTTAGCGCTGCTATAACCGAGCACCGCAGGGCGGGTGGCTTAAAACAACAGGAATTCCTTCTCGCCCAGTTGTGGAGGCCAGGAGTCCGAGGCCAAGGTGTTGGGGGTGGGTTTTTTTCTGTGGTCTCTGAGGGAGAATCTGTTGCTTGCCTCTCTCTAGCTTCTGGTGACACCAGCAGTTCCTGGGGCTCCTTGGCTTGTGGGCAGAGCGCTCCAGTCTCTGCCTCCATCACATGCTGTTCTTTCCCCGTGTCTCTGCGTCTTCCAGCGGCCCCCTCTCTATAAGGCCCCCGGCCTTACTGGAACAGCGCCCTCCCATTTCCTAACAGTCACGTTCTGAGGTACTGGGGGGGGAGGTTAGGACTTTATATCTTTTGGGGGCAACACAATTCAATTAAACCCATAATACACACCTAAGACAATGGCCATTCTTTTATCCAAAGACAAACCACACGCCCGTAGCAAACACAGAAGCCTTACAGATCCTTCAGGAATAGGTGCTATTCGGCTATAGGGAGGTAGTGACTGGAAAGAACAATTCAGGCCTCTGACCTGCTTTGTAGATCCCTTAACTGATTCTTCCTCAATTTCCTTTTCACTGCCCAAAGAAACCCATGGTTTGGAGAGGGGTGGCTTATAAATATATATCTCTTCAGGAACATAATCTTTAAGTTCTTTATGTTCTTCCTGTTCTTCTGGAACTTCTGAGAGCTAGAGCAAAACAGATAACATTCTAACATACACAACCATGTTTAGGTTATAGCTACATCTGTATGTTTTGCAATGGACAACTTTCATATAAATTCATTAATCACTTCCTTATTATTTCTCTTTGTTCTGCTTTTCAATTATGAGAAAGAAATCAAGAAAGAAAAAAAAAGGAAGAATAAAGAACAAAAAAACCCCATCAAGGATACAGACAGGAGGTGACAGAAGGAAAAAAATGAGAGTAGAAAAGGAAAAGATATGTGATAAGAAGACAGCATTTACTGCACATCTTCATGAATATGAGATACTGAACAATGTCGAATATAAAGCTAGCTTTCTCTGACTTAACAAAATTTCCTTGGTAAAAGGATTATAAATATGAATAAACATGATATATATTAAATAATGAGTGAATGTTTTTGTGTGTATGTGTGTTTTGGTTTTTTTTTTTTGGTTAGTCTTCACCCAAGGATATTTTTTCCATTGTTTTTTTTTTTTTTAGAGAGAGTGGAAAGGAGGGGAGAAAGGGGAGGGTGAGAGAGAGCGAGAGAAAGATTAATGTGAAAGAGACACAAGGACTGGTTGCCTTGTGCCCTGCAAACCAAGGTACATGCCCTTGACCGGGAATGGAATTTACGACCCTTCGGTGCATGAGCCGATGCTCTGACCACTGAAGCACACTGCCCAGGGCACGAGTGAATGTTTTTAAATCAAGATGTCCACAAGGAGATATAGAGAGAGACATATATCAATACCTGTGTCTATATCTCTATAGCTATCTATCCGTCTATAAACTGAATAAGTATCAATAGGTGAGTGAACTGATACGTGGTGCTATCATCATAAAATAAAAACCCATTAAGCAATAGTAGTGAACAAACTTGATCTACATATATATTATACCTAAATGTACCAACATGGGTGGGGCCTAGAATTTTATAATTTAGTGAAAAACAAAAATTGTAGAATGATTTGTATAATTTTATGTGACTTTTAAATAAAATAATAAAACACATTATTTGTGGAGCATTCATATATGGTAAAAACATAAAACCATGGACAGGAAGGATATACAACTTTTGAATAATGGTTCCTTATAGAGAGAGGTGGAATTACAGAGGATGCAAGAGGGAGTGAAGCATTATCTATTATATTTTATTTCTTTGTAAAAATGAAGTAAAAACTATGGTAAGATATTAACCCTTTGCGGTAGTATTAAATTTGGACATGGGTGTCGTACTGGTCGGAATTAATTTCCATTGAAAGAGCAGTGACACATAACATGCAAGATTATGAAGGATAAACAAGAGAAATTATGAACTGATACATGAATGATGAATAGAGTTAAGATTCGTACGGTTCCTTGCTGTGGTGGCTGAGAGCAGACATACGACTGGAACGGTAAAAAAACTTTGGTGGCTGAGGGTAGACAAACGACCACAAAGGGTTAATATTTGTTAATTCTGGGTAGTGATTGTGAGGATATTTGTTATACTATTATCTGTACTTTTCCATGCACTTTAAAATATTTCACTATACACAGTCATGCTCTGTATAATGATGTTTCGGTCAATGATGACAGACCCATAAGATTGTAATGAAGCTGAAAAATTCCTATTGCCTAGTGACGTTGTAGCGAAGGTGACGTCATAACACAATGCACTTCTTACATGGTGGTGGTGATGCTGGTGCAAACAAACCTGCTGCGGCTGTCGGATATATAAAAGTATAGCACATACAACTGTGTACATAATACCTGATAATGATAATAAACAATTATGTTATTGGCTTATGTATTTACTGTACTATACTTTTTATCATTATTGTGGAGTGTACTCTTTCTACTTATTAGAAAAAATCATTTGCTATAGGACACAATATGCTGCAACTGACCAATGTTTCTCTCTCACATTGATGTTCTCTCTTTCTCTCTCCCCCTCCTCTCTCTAAAATCAATAAAAAAAAGAGGCTCTTAGATTTTAAAAAACACCACCACCACAATATGCTGTGTTATGCTGGCAGCAGCCTCAAACATCTCGTGTTCACATCATCTCTCCATTGCATCATTTTGTCCTGTGCTTGGTTTAATCTCATGTTGCTCGTCCAGCAGTGGTAGCCTGGGAGCAGTGGGCTAGACCACCCAGGATTGCGTAGGTGTGCCCTAGGATATTCCCACAACAGGAAATCACCTAATGACGCATTCCTCAGATGTGGCCCCGCTGTTAAGCGGTGCAAGACTGTAATAAAAAAATTGAAAGCACAGAGAAAAGCAACGATAAAAATAAAATTGAAAATGTTAAGGCTGAGTAAATGATTATTTTTAGTTTAAAAAGTGCTACATATTTTAAAATTCTCTGCTTTCCTCTATTTTTCTTGCTTGTTGAGCAACCACTCAAACCCCTCTGTCTACCTCAGTTTGACCAAACCTCCCACGTGGATGCCAGGCCGGAAGGCAAGTCTCAGAAATGGGTCACCTTCCATGACCACCTTGAACAAAACACTTTGAAAGTGAACAGATTTTTTTTTCCTTTGGAAACTACCAGTTTTTAATGTTCTACTTTCTTCCCCATCAGCTTCCTACTGACCAAGTCATTCTTTTAAAAAATCTTGCTTCTACAAAGCTGACTAATAAAGTCAATCAGTCTAAAACAAATAGAGTCTAATATAGTGAAAAGTAATGGTGATTCAGTATTATGCTAATGGTTAGAGAATGATACAAGTTTATATGGACTAAAATCTGAATTATAAATAAGCTTTTGCTACAATTTGGAAATAAAAAAAAATATCTTCCATAAGATTATTGAAGAATGAAAAGGCTTTAAAATCTGAATTACCTAGATAACCATCTACATAGTCATAGCTAAGTCAAAATGCATTGATTTATCTACAGGATTCAAGCAATCATGATAGATACAATAAATAATTAGGTTTTTGTTTGGGGTGGGTACTCTTTGTTCTTTTGGACTGAGGTATTAGAACTGATTTAGTTTTGCCATTTCTCCATTTGCTTTGTTTATTAATAAATCCTAAAGCTGAAAAAATAAAAATAAATTAAAGATCTTGCTTCTAAATAACCATAGTGAACACTCATGGAATACCAGCTTTGTGTCAGGCACTCTACAAAGGGCTTTACCTTGTGTTAGTCCATTTAATTTTCACAACAGCCCTGGAAATGGTCACTATCAGTGCCACCGTTTTGCAGATGAGTGGTTCAGTAACTTACCCCAAGTTACCGAGATGGCAAGGGGAGAGCCAGGAATTTGGGCCAAGGAGTGGCTGAGAGCAGTGGTGCTCCAGATTGCTCTCTCCACTCTCATGGGGTCAATAAAGGCAAATAAGTAGAGTATCTGCTGCCCTGAGATGTCTGACTTAGTTCATCCCACATTTACTGTTCACCTCCTCTGGGTGCCAGAATGCGATCCAGGGCCCAGGGCAACAGGGCTGAACAAGAGGAACCATAACCGTGCAGGGGTCTCCCCCAGAGGTTCCTCTCCCTTCTCACCACCCATAAAACGCAAGGCCTTGGGTGTGCTTACATTGAAATAGTTTTCCTTGCCCTCTTCCGTTCCAATAACATAAAAGTTAAGTCCATATTTGAAGTCTCTGTCATAAACAACCAGAATTTCATCTCCAGGATACTCCTACGGGAATGTAATCAACAGAGAAGGTTACAGAACACTCCGTCCAAAAGCGCTAGAATATTCAGGGGTGGGCAAAAGGAGGCTTACGGGTCTTTGTATGGAAAATAATACAATAATTACTCAATAATGATACCAGAATAAACTTTGTGTTTTGTGTCCTCACAACTAACTGTAAGCCTACTTTTGCCAACCTCTGTACATTCTTTTCAAGTGCACATGGAACATTTTAAATGACAGATTATATATCAGGCCACAAAACAAGTCTTAATAAATTTAAGATGATTGAAATAATATCAAGCATATTTTTTATCACAATGGTATGAAACTATAAATTAGTTACACAAAGTAAACTGGAAAATTCACAAATACGTGGAGATTAAAGAAGATGCTACTGAATAGTATGAGAGAGCTAATGCAGTTTAATGACGTCCAGTGGTCACTCAATTTATTCAGACACCAACATGAAATTGATGCTTCTCTAATCAATTAATCACAAAAGGTAAGCATAGTGCTAGTCTATGGCTAATAAGCCTAAATNAAGGTAAGCATAGTGCTAGTCTACGGCTAATAAGCTTAAACTGAGAAATTATTTTATTAACTCTAAAAAGCTTTTAAAACACAATAGGTCCAGGGAAATTCACCAGGCAATTTTATTTTTAACAGGAAAAAAAGAAGCATTCCCTTTATTTGGTGTGGTGCTCTGCTGCCTGCTTGGAGACAAATCAGGGCCAAAATTATACATTAAACAATTAAAACAGTATAGGAAAAAGGAGGGTAGATTCCTACTCTAGTTAACATTGGGCAAGGATCAGCTTTTCTGGGTGTGGAATAAAATGATCACTGATAAGTTTTTGCTTTTCTCAGAGGATCATCAAGCAGGGTTCCCGGGGAGATGCGGCCAAGCCAGCATTTGCCCAAAGTAACGGCAAATGCCAGATTTGAACGCAGCAATCTTTTGAACTTTCATTGGTATATTCCAGGAGCCCCTTAAAACAAGATTGAACAATAAAAAGGGATGCAATACTTACCTGGATAACTTTTTTGACTGGGTAGAAATCAGATACTGCAGCTCTGTTGTGAAAATCTGCCAAAATATCCTGTTTTTTGATAAGTTTATAAGGGCGTTCTTCTGTCATATCTTCATCTACTCGGCACTTGAATATTTCTTGGGTCTTGGTAGTTAACACTAAAGGATAAATTTCTGGATGACCTGGGAAAGACAAAGTCCAATTTTGACATTAAATGTAACCACTTAAAATCTTAGCAATGGGAAACATGCAATTGTTTGCTTTAAATTCTTGTCTTGGTTAAAAATTTTAAAAGACTTTAACATTATTGTTCTTATTTTTAAAGTAAGTTTATCCGTTATTTTTAAAATGTCAAAAAGATTTTTTAAAAAAAAGAACATAACAATTACCTATACTACTATGTCTCAAGAGAGAACCTCTATTAATAGCTTGCTTTGTTTTCTTCTAGCCACTCCATATGTGCTATCCTGCCTTTAACACTTAGCGTATGTCACAAGTATTCTGCTAATCTAACATATCAGTTTAAATTAATGCAACTCTGTAGCATAACTTTTAACTGTTCTGTTGTTGATAAAACATTACGTTTTTTTCTCTCATTTGTTTCCAATGATTGTAAATAACTCTACAAACAGGTATCTACTGGTGCATAATTTTTAAAATCATGTTTAAAAATATTTTTTAAAAGTGAAATTATTGGTCCAAAGGTAAGAATACCTTTCCAGGCTCTATCAAACCTGTACTGCTTTTCTGAAGGATCCCCACCTTCATCCCTCACCTGCTGCTCTCTCTAACTAGGTGGCCTCACCTTCTATCTCACAGAAGAAACTGTGTATGCTCAGCACAGAGCGCTGGTGGCCCCGCAGCCCTGCCTGCCAGCTGACTGGCACAGGCACCACCTTTCCACCCGTCCCTCCGCTTGGAAGAGGGAAGACAGACGACGTGCCGCCCCTCCCCACCCTTCTCAGCCCTGGAGGCCCAGTCACTTTCCCTCCCCTTCAGCTTTCCCTACCCCTGGGCAGTTTTCCCTCAGCATGCGATTTGCTCAAAGGTCTCCTGTTTTAAAGAAACCTTCTCTCGATCTTACACAGGTGCCCTTGCTCCCTAGAGTTCCTTCTTTTCACAGTTAGACTTGTCACCCCATTCTTCCCATTTTAAAGCTACTGGCTTCCCAATTAAGTTGTATGAGCAAACCCTCGGAAGTGGGGAGCAAGGCGGGGTGGGGAACCCCTCTTCCCTCCTCTGGGTCCTCAGTCCTAGGTTTGTCCTTAGAGAGGAGGGAGGCTAGGTATTTCCATTCCTGTTCTTCCTGTCCCTTTCTCCCCCACCCCAGGCCAGTCCTCTGCAGCAGCAGGCCCTGGGACAGGCGATGGACTTCTCATTTTGTCACCACCATCAGCTTCCAACACCCCAGCCTGAGCTCTGTATCTGCCCGCAGAACTCTCTCCCCCGCCCCATGCCCACAGCCCACTCCCATCTTCTCCAGGCCCTACACACCCGGGTATCCTGATATGCTCCCTCCCACTGCTCAACAGGTGCGGAGTCAGGGGGAGACGTGCATGTGGCTTCTCACATTGAAATTCTGAATTTATTTTCCCACAGAAGCATTTACTTTCACCCTTGTGGCTCTATGGTATACAATTATTCAGGTGATTTTGGGGCTTTAATGACTGTGTGAATGACATTGATTTATATGGAAATATATTCCAAATTGCAATCTGTTGGCATAATAAACATTTGGAGTACAAGTTGTTCATAAATGATGGACAAACAGCCTATTTTTATCTCCCTCGAAATGCTAATCCTAAATTTTGGCATGTAAGAGACGCTCACTAAACTGTTGTGTTGATTCACATAGAGCTTATCCTTTGAAAACATTTTGCCAAGGATAATTCATAGTGTCTAATGCATAATAAAAGTTGTGCAGTTTTGCCTTTGAAAACCACTAGGTGGAACTGTGAGGCCCACACTGAGCTACAGCCAAAAGGGAGGTGGTGTCCTTCGTGAACGGAGGCATTCACAAGGGCCAGAGAGCCTTCTACCACCCAAGGAACAGGAAAGACAGTGACGAAGATTGTGGTCCATGTCACTTGCCCCCACTAAACATACTTCAAATTCTGCTAGGTGGACCCTGTTCACTAAAATGCCCCTTTCACACTAACTGGACTTTATCAAGGCAATTTTAACATAGAATCTAATTTTCCTTTATCTCGAAGTTAGTAAAACTGGTAGGCTGTTTCTAGTTGCAATTGGCAGTCATGAATAACTTCAGGCAATACTCCCACAGTTACTACTTTCAAGCCCTACCAGAACAATGGCCAAACTAAACAGGACAAGGCCTGAGGCTTCTGGCCACCCCAAGGGTCTCTGGCAAAATTCAACAAAAGAATACTGCTAGTTAGGCTTTGAGCCTCCGCTGCCAACAGCACCCCAGGCATACAGCAATGAGGCTAAGGTGACAGGTGGGCTGTGGGCTCAGTTACACCTCCAGCCTAGTGGGATGCTGGTTGCTCCAGGAGGGTGAGAAAGTGGTTGGAGCAGAGGAAAAGGCCTGCAAGTCCTCCTGAAGCTTA